TTGTCCCTGCCCATGGCAGGGGGGTTGGAACTAGATGATCTTTAAGGACCCTTCCCAACCCAAACCATTCTGATTCTATGATTCTTTAAGACTGGTAGCCAACTACTCAAAAACCTAGCAGGAACTGGAAAGAAACATGATTTTTTTTTTCCTTCAACAATAAAGACCACATGGAGTTACAATGTTGACACAGCTATTGAAGCTCTATTTCGTAATAAAAACATGTATTGTTAAACCTACAGAGAGATGTACACAGCTGGACCCTCATAATATTACAAAGCCCATGTCAAATCTGCTGGGGATCCATCTGCATGTACCTATTTATAATGTCTCTACAGTGTGTTAAGTGGAATGCTAATTAGACACAGTATAACAGATTTTAGACCTAGGTACCCATAATTAAACTGTGAAAACAATATTTGACTGTAAATTTGTAAAACTAACTGATGAGTAATATGTTAAATGTCAAGGCTACTTTGAACAACGTAGATCCATAGATACACACTTCTTGTAAACTTTTATTTTCAATGCATTGTTCTCCAGGGAGGGAGAGTATCCACGACTTTCAATATAACATTGCAATTTAGAAAAAGTATCTTTTTAAAAAACAAAACAAAACTTTCTCAAAGATACCCTAAAGTCAAAAGTAAGGAAATCTAATTCTTTATAAACAGCATGGGAGCTACTTCAAAAAGTTATGCGCATTCCTCTGTAAGAAAGGAAACAGGAAGACAAGAAAAGGATCTGTAGTAAAAAGAGCAAATAACTATACTATATTCCCCAAATACAAAAGGTTAGTGGAATTGAAGTGTTACTCTTCAGAGAATGGAAGTTCACTCCAAGTGGAACCAGAAGGGAGAAAGGCTATGACAAGTAAAATATAAGTTGGATATTAGGAAGGCAAAAAGGAAATAAGAAGAGCAGATAGCAAAGGATACAAAAACAACTAACAATAAAGCCTATTAGTATATCCGAAGCAGGAAACTTTCAAGGGAATCATTGGATTTGCTAGAGCTGGGATTGAATAGAGCACCTGAAGAAGATAAGGGCATTGCAGACAGTCCAAATTATTTCTTTTCATCAGCCTTTGCCATGGAAGATGTTGGAAAAATGCATACCCGACTTTTCTGATAAAGGGACTAACACTTCTTCAAACTGAAAAATCAAAAAGGGGTGAGGAAACACAATAAATTGAAAGCAATAAACGATGAGGGATGAGCTCCTGTCCCACTTGCATCATCAGGTGTTTTACCATTGATTTTAGCACTGACAGTCTTTTACTTCAGAACTGAACGGCAAACAGACCAACAGTTTCAAAATACGAAAAGGCTGAGCTGGGCATCACAGTGGACTGTTCAGTGTGCAGCAGCAGTCAAAAGAGCAAGCAAAAGAATAGAATATAAGAAGAATGAGACAGGGACAGTAGGAAAGACTATATTTTTAGTCAATATCCAAATCTCTTCTGGAGTATCTATTCAGCTTAGGGTTCCTGCTCTAAACCAATGACAGTGGTAAATGACAAGAGTTTGACAACAATCACAAATGATTATGGAAGAAAATTTTAAAAGCTGGAAAGAACCAGGAAGTTAACTTAGCAAAGAGATGAACGAGAGGGGACAATGTAGAGGTGCAAAGAATAATATGAGATATAGGTAAACAGGATGCTCTTCAACTTAAACTTTCTCACGCTACTAGAGCAAAGGGCCAATCAGGGCAATAAAAAGTTACCAAATCAAAAATAAAAGAACTGAAACATTTTACTGCAGAAACCACAAAACTGTGTAATTAATTCACAAGGACATCTCCACGATAGTAGCAAGGAATATCCTTTTGTGCTTTTGCTATTGTTATTGCTTTTCTTTCTTGTTCATACCCATATAACGAAATTAGTGACATGGCAATAAACATAAATCTTCAAACAACTCAATTAAGGGAACATGCTTTCCCTTTCTTCTTGCCCTGCTGCATGAAACTTTTCAGGTTGGATATATGCCAGGGGAGGAAGGGGAGGTAAGATGAGGTATGGAGCATGGTTGCGGCAAGGATGAGGACAGCTAGTAGAGCTGTTTCAAGTGCATGCTCAAATTGCAGTGTGCTGTCTGTTCTGTACTAGATCCTACACATGTAACGCATGTGGTTGTGTCCTGATTTCAGCTGGGATAGAGTTAATTTTCGTCGTAGTAGCTGGTACAGTGCTGTGTTTTGGATTTAGTATGGGAATAATGTTGATAACGCACCGATGTGTTAGTTGTTGCTAGGTAATGCTTACACTAGTCAAGGACTTTTCAGCTTCCCATGCCCTGCCAGCGAGAAGCCGGGAGGGGGCACAGCCAGGACGGCTGACCCCAACTGGCCAAAGGGACATTCCATACCATGGGACGTCATGCTCAGTGCATAAACTGGGGGGGTTGGCCGGCTGGGTGTGACCGCTGCTCGGGAACTGGCTGGGCATTGGTCAGCGAGTGGTGAGTAAATGCATTGTACATCACTTATTTTCTATATACTTTTATCATTATTATTATTATTTTCCCTTCCTTTTCTGTCCTATTAAACTGTCTTTATCTCAACCCACAAATTTTACTTTTTTTCCCCTCGATTCTCTGCCCCACCCCACTGGGGGCAGGCAGTGAGTGAACCGCTGTGCGGTGTTTAGCTGCATGCCGGGTTAAACCACAACAGGCTGATGGCTCAGAAATCTGCCAGATGTTGGCACTGGACATATTGGGTCCCAATCTAGAATTAAGACATAAGAAGTAAACTATCAATGTGTGAAATTTGTGACTGAAATTACCAGGTAGGGCCATCCAAGGAGTCTCTTGCATTATTCATGACACTTCAGAACTTCATATATAAATCAAATAGAAGGAAAAAAAGTCTATCATTTCTGCTCTGTTGAGCACAGATCCACACACAACTTTGGTAATGGCTGCACAAACAAGCTCTCTAGAAAATACAGTATTACAGACATGCTCTTCATAATACTCATTCACACAGTTCCGCAACTAATTTCAATACAGTATCGTTCAATGGACACTTCTATGAAAAACTACTCAGAAGTGTCAAGAATACAGAGGTCGTTAAAAATAACAAAATGAGTCTGGTTTGTTTGGGTGTTTTTTTTCCCAAATGAATGCTTACAAACAGTCTTTTGCAATGTTTTTCCATATTGGACTTAGTCAAGCTTTATTATATGATTCACGGGCTTGCTATTAATCATTTTGTCTGTCTAACACTGTAGAAAAGGAAACTACAGATTCTACAAAGCTCCCACACTTCCTAAGAGGTTCCAAAAGCAGCAAAATTATATCCTCCAAGTTCAATGATAAACTTTGACAGACTTTCAACCTTGAAATGGTGAGTAATCCTAACACAAATGAAGTGCAAAACTATTAAGTGTAACGTAAGAATAAATGTTATCAATAAATACACACGTAACTTGAAACATACTGCTTTAGAAATAGCTGAAACCTTGACTTACTGTGGCTGTGCCGGAGACAGTTTGTGCATTTGTGTCAGCTGCACTCTGTTCAGAGTGTGTCTGAGCAGGAGGGTACATGTTTAACGTGTGCTCTGGAACAGTGGTTTGGCCTGTGTAGTCTGGAGCTGGATGAGGATGTGGGGCTGTGTATTCTGCAGGGATACCATTCTGAGGTGGAGCAAACTGGGCTGAGGCATAAGGCTGTGCCATTGTGTCAGGAGGTGCTGTAGCTTCCTGATTACCCTGTAAAAATCAAAGAAGAAAAAAGGAAGAAGAAGTGTGGAGTGAGATAAAATAAGCCTTGAACCTGCACACCTAACACAGAAAGCGATGATAGTATTCTGCTAAGATTGCTGGCCTGAAAAGGGCACAGTGTTTGTTTCTTGAGGAGAAAATTTCTTATCTGAATTAAATCCATTCTGCTAACGCTATTAAATCTTATTATAATTAGACAAACAAATCAGCTGTTCTCTGGATAGTTGTAGACTATTCTTTAACTGGGAAAGGTCAGTGAAGTCTACCTGAACTAATGCCTCAACTCAGACAATGAAGAGGGACAAAGCTCAGTTTATTCCAAAGGCTACTGAGCGCAACTGCCAATACAGAGCTCTGATGAGGTTAGCCCATGGTCTGTGATCCATTCTGACTTACCATTGGCAGAACACAATATATGCAACCTACACACAGAGCAGGATTTGGGTGCATACTGTTAACCATATGCTGAAAATATTTTTATGAAATAATTCTCTGTAAGATATTCAGAAATACTTTGAGGTACACTGTATTGAGCAACTGCATGCACAAATGCAAAAAAATGAGATCCGATCAAAATATTAAATATTTGAATCTAAAAATGCATCAGTCCAAAATCTTAAGTTAACGTAAAAGAAAAATTCTATGTTGTAGGCTGTCAAAAGAAATAGATGTAAGAACTTTAAAGGCTTTAAATTTGAAGACAATAGTATTTCATTTCCATATTACAATAAGCCTATACAATTAAAAACAAATGCCCTCATCTCTTTATAGATAGATCCATCTTTATGTTCGATATAATAAAGGATAGTCGAGCATGTTAATTTATCAGTTAGAAACTTCTGACTAAATGCTCTGCTCATACCAAATACTAATAATTCTAGGGGAGGAAATGTACAGAACAATCTTTCAGAACCTATACAAAAGACGTCCAAAACATGATGCTGCAGATGACGCAGCATTAGAGGCCATTAATACAGGGATTATCCCAAACTCAGATGAGCTGATTTACAAGATAAAATTATCCCTCTAAATATCAAGTAATGTAAAAATGAATATTTGAGTAAAATGTTAATTAGTTTTTAAAATACTCATTTTCCCACCAAAAGCATGTACAAGTACCTGTACAGGACTACTATAGGGATTTTGCTTATTTATACTCATCAGTCCTTGGTTTCCTAATTTCAAAACAGGCTGGATGAATAAAAGACATTCTTTTGTATTTCGTACTTAAAGACATTTCCAGCCAATTTCAGCTGGTTCAGACATCAGTCCTCTGACCTGAACTGGACCTGAACTCAAGCACTTTTAAGAATTTGCAGAATCACAGCACTGGAATAAGCCTTGGTACATGCCAGGCTTAGAAGGGAAAATCAAATTTTCCTTTGTAAAAGGCATTCGGTGTGTCCTAAAAAATTAAAACACTGTATCAGCAATCAAACCCTCCCTAATTTTGATCCTATCTTTGCTACTCTTTTAGTGTATGGCCTTGAGCAAGTAGTTTACATTGCTTCATTCAACCACCTTCAAAATGAAAACAGTGACATTTACCTACTTCACAGGGCTAAGTCAGTAAGTTTCATTTGCATATATCTACAATCATTCCAAGTTTATTGCTGCACTGAAACTTGCCCTGTTTAAATTTCAGTGGAGGTTAAAAACTCTTGTAAATGTATACTTATATGCTCTTATATTAAAACGGCAAGTTCCCTTTCTTATTTCTTTTACCTAATATTTTCACTATTAAAAAAAAATCCAGATGCAGTAAAAACCAGCAATGACTGGATTAGATCAGAGACATTTATTAAATGTTAAAGAAGTATTTTTAAAATTTGTGGGGGAGGCAGGGGACCATAATTTTTTTAATCAACAGTTTCAGGAAGGACTTCAGCAAGTAGTAAGAATGAACAACAGCAAATTGAACTTCTGCCTATATAAGCATTTTCACTGTGCTGGCTTTGGAACACGGTAGCTGGTTACTGCTGGTCTTTAAGCTATTCCTTCATGTCAGATGCTAAACATGACATTAGAGTCAGCAGCTGTTAAAAAAGAACAATAATAGCAACAAAGGGACCAAGGGCTAATGTCCAGGTGCATTTGATCTAAAGGTTTTAGTACTACCTTGAGTCCTAAACCAGATGTTGCTGAGACCCCCACTGTTTCTCATTAACATTGACAGCAGTTCCATGAGACCCTAATTAATATTCAAAGCATTCACACTTAGCACTAATTACAGCTAATATTTAATTAAGAGGGTTGAACTTTTATATTATTTTTACCAGCAACTCCAAATGATTCACTTTTTAGATTTATCATAAAATGGCAAACTGCACTGGCAATTCCAGCACCTTCACGTTGCTGAGACTCTTCTACCTCTTTCATTAGACTTGTTAAGCTGAGGTCTGTATCACACTTACTTAGAACCGAGATCCCATTAGTAAGTAAACAACAAAGGGTCAGGGGTTTGTTTTGTTGAAAATCGGTGCCTAGTGTAGCCTTTCCTAGCCTTCAAAATTAGTGTGAATTTATGATTCACAATTAATTCAATAGACACAGTATTACAATGTAGTAGAAAAGCATGTATGTATAAACATGTTCTTTACTACTTATATGGGTATCAAGCCAATAGCTTATTGTTTAGAATACGAATTTATATCAAGAACAACGCAGTGTCAGCTAACACATATTTGTATATACATGTGGTTGATGGAAACCCCAGACTACACAAAAGTCAGATACACTTGAATAGATTTTAAAGAACCAGAAGTTCTTCAAATATAATCACCTAAAATGTACCTTTGTTGCGCCCTTTAAAATACAGTGAACTAAAATGAATAAAGGAAATAATAGATCTAATGCATTAAGTTGAAAATATGAAATGGCCCTAAAAGCAACAGGAAATATTGATCCTAAATTAGCCTATGAACTCAAGTATTAGAGTAATCTCAAAACTGCAGATGACAGTACACAGACATCGCTTAATACAACCTAGGCATGAGAGGCTAAACAGAAGTTGTCCCTTCAGACTCAGTTCCAAGTATCTTTAAGATTAAATGACCCCTTAATGCTCACTTTGTGCATGGTTTTTAATAAAGTAGTTGTTGGCAACAGAAAGAAGAACAAAGGATGGCAGACAGTCAGGCTCTGCTAAATGTTTTGGCCTGAGTTTTAATGAAAACCACATTTCAACTGAAAAATATGCTTTACGTGGCAGTGTATAAAATCAAATTTATTGCTTTCTGGTTAAATGTTGAACTCTAAAGAACAAAAAAAGAAAGCATTCCAACGATGCAGGTAACTGAAATAAACAGAAAGAAGAACAAAGGATGGCAGACAGTCAGGCTCTGCTAAATGTTTTGGCCTGAGTTTTAATGAAAACCACATTTCAACTGAAAAATATGCTTTACGTGGCAGTGTATAAAATCAAATTTATTGCTTTCTGGTTAAATGTTGAACTCTAAAGAACAAAAAAAGAAAGCATTCCAACGATGCAGGTAACTGAAATAATTCCTATTCCATTTAAATAATACTCCATTTGAAGAAAAGCTTAGAATTTAAAATGCTGCTAGTATCTCAGATCTCAACATGCCTTTTCAGCATCTTCTGCTCTGAAAGGATTTCATAATTAAGAAATGCATGAAAAGTGTCAAAACATAATAAAGCAAGCTTGTTATGTTTGTACACAAAAGACAGAGCACAGAAAACATTACTTATGCAGTGTTTCTTTATAAAAACACATTTGCAGCATAAAAATGTATTCAATGAAAACCTTTCTGCTTGCCTGCATTTTAAAGTCTAGCTAACAGTTTATTGTTTGTTTTCTGTTTGGTGCATTTTGTTTCTTTGGCAAGGGATATTTCACATTTAGAGAAAGCCTCTCATACTGTAGTTAAATGAGCCAAACTGCATCATATCCTTAGGGCACGGAAACAAAGAAGGAAAATGCAACATTACTCTGTAAACCTGCTGGTTTTAAGAACAGCGCCGTTAGATATATCAAGCACAGCAGAGATACATAATCACCACCGTAATTTGCCTTCCTTCAGACTTAAGCAACAAAACACGTATTAGAAGTCTTGCATGCAGTGGTGCAGCTGGTTATAAGAAATGCCCTGCCTTGGCTAAAATCAAGAGTTTCAAGTGAAAATAAAAGTGAAAATACCTGCTGCTGTACCATCCTGCTCCCTTTATTCTCCATAAACTTAGCAGCTGCTCTAGTCCCAGGCCATACAGCATCTGCCCAAAGCAAGCATCAATTATGGATGAGGGCGTGTGAGCAAAGTAATGTGTGCATGAGTGTGGATGATAGGGGTGTTGAAGGAGGGGGAGCTAATGCAAGGCTTACTGACCTCCCTCTCAACATCTGACTGCTCCCAAAACCTAATCCAGATGGGACTCTTTCAGTTTGCTGGGCCTCGCCCCATCAATCACAGCAGGCCACTCCTCTGTCTCCTGCTACTAGTTATAGAGTGCACCACTGAGCAGATGATTACACACACAAGAAGAAAAAAAACACAGCTTGACTACATTAATAGCTGTTTAAAAAACATTAGAAATGCTACTATGTAAGTTGCCAGAAGCTGAACATTTTTGTTTTAAAATTAAGACAGCTGTATTCAAAGTTACAAAACCCCCTGAACTTCCAGTGCTTTGGCTTTTTGATAGCTACGATGTACAGTAACATGTGTGCATTTCTATGTGATTAATTTGTCCTACACGTGGTAGAGTTAATACCAATAAGATTTCTATTTTAAAACTGCTGAACTCCACAAGTAAACCATCAATATTGAAGTAGGCTGTTTTAGATTAAATGTACTTTATCCTTCCATACAAATGAAATATTGTTTCCTTTTTTGTTTCATTTCATGACATCCCTCTTGCTTAGCAGGGGAAATATTTCAGAAATGCTTCCAAGGTTTAGTTCTGTGAGGCACTTAAAGCTACTTAATGCTTCACTATTAGAGGAACTTTCCTAGATGCTCTGGAGATAG